CGATGCAGGGGTGTGTGTGTGGGGGTGTGTGTGTGTGTCACTGTGTCACTGTGAAATCAGACTTTGAATATTTGAATAAATATTTTACATCATGTTGCACTGCTCCCTAAGATAGGGGTGTCCAATATTTTTGGCTTTCCTGAACAAAATTGGAAGAAGAATTGCCATGGGCTGCACATAAAATACACTAAAAATAGCTGATGAGCTGAAAAAAAAAATCTCAAAAGGTCTCAATGTTTCAAGAGTTTACGAATTTGTGTTTGGCCGCACTCAAAGCCATCCTGGGCCACGGGTTAGACAGGCTTGTTCTGAGAGCTGACAAATCAACCAGAACTTTTCATTATCTTAAACACTGAGCTCCATTTTATTTTTTTTACTTTTCTCTTTTTATTTTCTTGGGAGGAAGTCTCGTGCTACTGCGCAGGCTATTCACAGGAATGATCAGAGTGTACTCTGCCTGGAACTCCTGACCCCAAGCGATCCTCCCACGTCAGCCTCGAGCAGGTGGGACTACAAGCACATTAATTTTTACACACATTCACACCTTGTACCGTCAACACCTCCTCACAGGCAACCACCACTCGGACCTCAATCACCACAGGGCAACTGTGCCTGTTTCTGAACTTCACACACGTGGGGTCACACGGTGTGTACTTTTTGTGCCTGGCTTCTCGCACTCAGCATTCTGTCTGCAACACTCATCTATCTGTTTTGTGTATTCGTGCTTCGTTCCCTTTTATGTTGCTGAGTAGTATTCCACGGTGTGGCTGCACCGTGCTTTGTGCACTCACCTGTTGATGGACACGTGAGTTTCTTCCAGTTGGGGGCTATCATGAGTAAAGCTGCTGTGAGCTAAGTACAGAAGCATTTGTTTCTTTTCCGTGAATACCTGAGTGGATCACTCAGTCAAAAGGCACATGCTCAGCTTCAGTAAATATTAACAGTTTTCCAAGAAGTTGTTCCTCTGGATGTTATACACCAGACTTCCAGTTATTCCACATTCTCGTCAGCACTTTATATTGTCAGATTTCTTAATTTATCCATTCTCATAGGGGCTGCAGAGGTTTCTCCTAAAATAAGCGATTTCCATTTCTCTCCAATTTTACCATGATTCTGTAACTCCAATAGAACAGCTGTAAAACCTCAAGTAAGACATAAGAATCACAAGAAAGGAGAGCAAAATCTCAGACCTCACTAGTCTCTTTCTTTCTTTCTTTCTTTTTGAAATGGAGTTTCACTTTTGTGTCCCAGGCTGGAATGCAATGGAGTGATCTTGGCTCACTGCAACCTCCGCCTCCTGGGTTCTCCTGCCTCAGCCTCCCCAGCAGCTGGGATTACAGGCACACATCACCAAACCTGGCTAATTTTTGTTTTTTTAGTAGAGATGGAGTTTTGCCATGTTGGCCAGGCTTGTCTCAAACTCCTGATCTCAGTTGATACACCTGCCTCAGGTCCCAAGGTGCTGCGATTACAGGCATGAGCCACCGCTTTTAGCCATGAGCTCACTAGTTGCAAGAACTCATCAGACAAGCACAGAAGATCACGGCAAGGAAACCTGCAACATTTCATGAACATCGCAAGAACTCTTACAGTCGATGTGCTGCCGTAAGATGTTTACGAGGAGGCTGGGCACCGTGGCTCACGCCTGTAATCCATCCCAGCACTTTGGGAGCCTAAGGTGGGAGGATAACTTGAGGCCAGGAGTTCAAGACCAACCTAGGCAACATGGTGAAACCCTGTCTCAACAAAAAAACTTAAAAAAATAGCCAGGCATGGTGCTGCGTGCCTGTAGTCCCAGCTGCTCGGGAGGGTGAGGTGGGAGGATCGCTTGAGCCCAGGAGGTGGAGGCTGCAGTCGGCTGTTATCACTACCACTGCACTCTAGCCTGGAGAAAAGGGCAAGATCCTGTCTCAAAAAAAATTTTTTTAAAGATGTTTGCAAAGCTAAGCCAGCATCTCTTCTGAGAAATAAAGAAGTAAATGACACAACTAGAAATAGCTGCATACCCACTATGTGTAAACAAACCCAAAGGACACTTTAGCCTTTATCTCACTTGGCCTCTCACAGGGAGTGACCCTGTCAACCCTACCCTTCACCAAAAGAACACTCTCTCCCCCTGCACTTCTGGTCTCCAGAACTCGAGTTACTATTTCTCTGCGAGTTCTACACACGGATATCACTCCTGTCTACACAGGAATGGTCTCCAAACCCTTGCCTCAAACTCCTACCCCTCTGTCAAGTGTCAGGCCCAATGTCCCACTGCCCTAAACATCTCAGCTTAGAAATCTCAGGAGTGGCCAGGAGTGGTGGTTCACTCCTGTAATCACTGGCCAGGAGCGGTGGCTCACGCCTGTAATCCCAGCACTTTGGGAGGCCGAGGAGGGCAGATCATGAGGTCAGGAAATCAAGACCATCCTGGCCAACACGGTGAAACCCCATCTCTACTAAAAATGCAAAATAAAATTTAGCTGGGCATGGTGGCACACACCTGTGGTCCCAGCTGCTCAGGAGGCTGAGGCAGGAGAATCGTCTGAACCCGGGAGGTGGAGGTTGCAGTGAGCCGAGATCACGCCACCGCACTCCAGCCTGGGTGACAGAGGAGACTCCATCTCAAAACAAACAAAAAACTCAGTACATTCAAAACAAGACAAGACCCTCCAGGTCCTCACCACCGGGACAGCTGATTCATGGTGGTCCAACTCAGAGACCTCGGCCTAATCCTCACTCTGCCCCTTGCTTACCCTCCCTACCTCCTCAACAAGCACGGCTCACCTGCTGGGCATCTCCCAACGCTGCACGCACTAACCCGCCCCCCGTCACTTCAGTACAGCCGGAGCTTCCATCGGGTTCAGTCATCGTGGGGGGTCACGTGCTGGCCTGGGACACGTTTACCAAGGTGAAGCCAGCGCCACCCTAACGCCACCCAACGCTGCCATGGGCCTTCTCTTTGGAAAATCTACAAAGTGCATCCGTTTTCCACCCTAGTGACCAAATACGGGCGCAGCTTCAGGGTCTGTGAAGTTCTCAAACCTGCTTGTAATGATCAATCTGCCAGGCTGCCTCCCGCCAAACAGAAAATTCGGTACCGTAAAGAATGAAAACTGGATTATAAGACAACCAGACTCCCGGGAACATTTATTTATTTTCTTTCTTTCTTTCCCTTCCTTCCTTCCTTCCTTCCTTCCTTCCTTCCTTCCTTCTTCCTTCCTTTCTTTCCTTTTTTTTGAGAAGGAGTTTCACCCTTGTTGCCCAGGCTGGAGTGCAGTGGCACGATCTTGCTCACCATAACCTCCGCCTCCCGGGTTCAAGCGATTCTCCCACCTCAGCCTCCCGAGTAGCTGGGATTACAGGCATGCGCCACCACGCCCGGCTCATTTTGTATTTTTAGTAGAGAAGGGGTTTTTCCATGTTGGCCAGGCTGGTCTTGAACTCCCCGCCTCAACTGATGCGCCCGCCTCGGCCTCCTGGAGTGTTGAGATCACAAGCGTGAGCCACAGGCCAGCCAGAATATTTATATCTTCATCCCCCTCAGGGCTATCATCTCTACCGTAACACCAAGAGGCTTCCCCTCACGGCCATCATC